TATGTTGCACATCTAGACAAAATCATCCACTGAGTCTCAAATTTGTCACTTTAACCTCCCCAACATCTTTGTTAAAATATTGGTTAAGTTGTAATTCATGGTTCAGGAGAGGAAATCATCAAATACTGTTTTTTTTTTTTAACCTTCCAACACATTTTGCTCATCTTAAATCCCTTCTGCTCCTTCCATTTTGATTTGAGTGGCAAAAATTCACTTTTTATAGTAGTAGATGAATAGTATTTCATTTTATAATTGCCATTTTTAACTTCTTTGTCCAAACACCTATAGGTGGGCACTTCATTTGTTTTTGTATTTTAGCTCTTGTAAACAGTGTTGCGGTACTTTTTGTGTCAATGTTTTTGTATTCTTCAGATTAGCATCCCAGAATGGGAGGATTGCTGGATTATATGTCAGTTCTGTGTGTGTGTGTGTGTGTGTGTGTGTGTGTGTGTGTGCGTGTGCGTGTGCGTGTGTGTGTGTGTGTGTGTGAAGTTGGGTCATACTCAGCAGTGCTTAAGGCTTACTCCCAGCCCCGTGCTTAGACGATTATTTCTGGTGGTGACAGGGGACCATATATGGTCAAAATTAGGGTTGAATGCATGTAGGGCAAGTTCCTTAACATATTTGTACAGCACCTAGTTTTCTCTTTGGTTGGGATTGGAGATCACACATGGCAGTGCTTGGGGTATTTCCTGTTTGAGACTCAGGGATCACTCTTGGCTGTCCTCTGGGGAACGTGAGTATCAGGGATCAAACTTAGATCATGTGCATACAAAAAATATACTTCCACCCATTAAACTATCTCTCCTGCCTCTAAGTGGTTTAAAAAGTTTATTTTTTGTTTACTTGGCCACACAAGGAAGTGCTCAGGGGAATATGCATTTCCAGGGACTCAGTATGGGCCTCTTGCCGGCCAACCATGCTCTCCAGCCTTTAGCCTTTATATCCAACATTTAGCTTTCATGTGAGGGGTTGGGGATGGGGAGATCGAGGTCATATCCGGCAGTGCTGAGGAATTACTCCTGGTTCTGAGCTCAGGGATAACTCCTGGTGGCACTTGTGGGACTATTTGTGGTTCTGGGGATCAAACAAGTGTCTACCATGTGTGCTGTGGAGAGGGATAAGTACCTTAAGTCTTGTATTATCTCTCTGGCCTCCAGCCTTTAGGTTCTTTTTTATTGGTGGGGGGCATACCTGGTGATGCTCAGGGGCTACTCCTGGCTCTGCTTTCAGAAATTACTCCTGGCAGTGCTCAGGGGATCATATGGGATATTGCTCCAGGTCAACTGGAGCAAGGCAAGCACTCTCTCCACTGTATTGTGACTCTGGCCCAGCCTTTAGGTTTTAAGGAAGCATTTCCAGGATTCTTACATTAATTTACATCCCAACTAACAGAGCATGAAAAATTATTTTCTCTACATATCTCTTATTAATAAAATTACTTATTAATAAGTATTATTGATGCTTTTGACGCAAGTCATTCTCATAGGAATGAGATACTATTTCATTGTGATCTTAGTTTGAAGTTTTTTGCTAATCAATGATGAACATTTTAAAATATGCTTTGCACTGGCCAAAATATTTTCTTTGGTGTAAAGTATTTATTAGTAAATGCAAAAAAATCTATCTTTTTCCCTTTTTTGATGCCTGGGATTTGTATATCTTACAAATGCAAGATATGCTTACTACTACATTTCTAGTTCATCTAATAGGTAATGAACTGATTGTTTAAGTTCATTATCAGATGACCTGGTAATGTCAAGGGGAAATATTTTAGAAAAATATATGTTAATTTAAATGACTTTTTATGGTTTATTTTTGTGTCATACCTACTAGTGCTTGGGGGTCCCAGCTTGGTGATCTGGGGCAGGGGGCTGCTCCTGGCACTGTTGGGGGCTTGGGTGCCATGTGTTGCTAAGAATCAAGTAAAACATTTTAAACCATTACACATAGATTGGGTTGGAGCGATAGCACAGCAGGTAGGGCGTTTGCCTTGCATGCGGCTGACCTGGTGGACCCAGGTTCTTTTCCTCCTCCCCTCTCAGAGAGCCTGGCAAGCTACTGAGAGTGTTTCGCCTGCACGGCAAAGTCTGGCAAGCTACCCGTGATGTATTCAATATGCCAAACACAGTAACAAGTGTCACAGTGGAGACATTACATCGATTTGCCCGCTTGAGCAAATCGATGAACAATGGGAGGACAGCAATAGTGACAGTGACACATAGATTGACTTCATTTTATTTTTCTGTGACAGAACTTTTTGCCTGAGTCAGTTTAAGCTGTAATAATTTATTGCTTTCTATAATCATAGCAGAAAGATACATTCTTCGCTTTTCAAGTATACACTTATGCAAGAAGCTTAACTCATTTTACTTTTCTTTTAAAATTTCAGTAAAATATCTAAAAGAAGGAATCATACACTTACTACCTCAAGAGAGAGGAATAAAGCAGGAGGCCCAAGTTCAATCCCCAGCACTGCCCCCTCTGCATCCCTGGGAGCCCCTGAACACCTCTGGGTAAGGTCCAAAAGCAATTGAAAAACACAAGTGTTGGGGGTGGAGCAGGTAGGGTGCTTGTCTTGCACACCGCCAACCTTGGTTCCATCCCGACACCTTATATGGGCCCCAAACCCACACCACTGGGTACAGCTCCAAAACAAACCAAAAAAAGGAAACAAGGGGCCGGAGCCATAGCACAGCGGGTAGGGCGTTTGCCTTGCACATGGCCAACCCGGGTTCAATCCCCGACATCCCATATGGTCCCCCAAGCACTGACAGGAGTTATTCCTGAGTGCAGAGCCAGGAGTGACCTCTGAGCATTGCTGGGTGTGACCCAAACAACAACAACAACAACAACAACAACAACAACAACAAGAAGTTTTTTTTTAACCATGCAAGTTGGCATGCATACATACTATTTTATACTGAATTGAACACAGTGTCATCTTAATCTTTTGCCTCCCTTTGAATATAAATTTCTTTGTCTCCTCTCCTTCCCTCATCTGTCCTCATTTCTCTTTTCTAGGGAAATTTCCGTGGGGCTGGGTGCAAAAGTCACAAGAGTATAACAATAGATAAAAGAGCTGGACTGACATTAGCATCCAAGGACTAAAACTATATTCTGGGGGCTGAAGCGATAGCACAGCGGACAGGGCATTTGCCTTGCAAGCGACCGACCTGGGTTTGATTCCCAGCATCCCATATGGTCCCCTAAGCACCACCAGGAGTAATTCCTGAGTATATGAGCCAGGAGTAACCCCTGTACAACATCGGATGTGACTCAAAAAGCAAAACAAAATAAAACAGAACAAAAAACTATATTCTGAAGGAAAAACCATTCATTTCCATGCATCCCAGAAGGTTTACTTTCTAAAGTAAGCACTTGCTTCTTACAGTAGCCCAATAATTTGGGTAGATTCGCTTTAAGAACTTGTATCTAGATTTAGAACACCCAAAATCATAATGCAAGCACACCAAGATAGATGCTAATAAGCAACCTTGCAAAATCAATAGAAGAAAGAATTTTTAAAACTTTTTAAAAAATTGAATCACAGTGAAATATACAGTTACAAAGTTGTCTGTGATTGGGTTTCAATCATACAATGTTCCAACACCTGTCCCTTCAGCTTACATTTCCCATTACCAATGTCCCCAGTTACCGTCCCTCCTCCAAAAAATTCTCAAGGGCTATTCCTGGCTTAGAATCAGGAGTCACTCCCAGAAGTTCTAGAGAGACCTTATCCATTACTGGGGATTGAATCCTGGCATCCTACTTGCAAAACATGCATATGCACTCAGACCATTTAGCAAACTCTTCTTCCCAAAATTAAAGTTTTAAAAGTATTGTCTTCCTTCCAAGCCCCCCTCTCTAGTTTCTGGGCCATAGGTCCTGGCAGTGTTCAAGGGACCATATGTGGTGTAGATGATCAAATCCTGGTGGGCTGCATTCAAGGCGAATGCCCTATTAGCTGTACTATTTCTCTGACATCTCTGTTCCTTTTCACTACAAATAGCACTGTTTTGTCCATTACAAAGACCCTCCAGGGGAAAAGTTGGTACAGATTTTATTATCAGGCTCACAGTGATTAAGTAAATTTATTTGAGGTGCTTGGGATTAAACATATTAAGATATAAAAATGTTTCACTGCCATAGGAGTTAAGTGTACTCCACAGTAGCTTTCTGTGGCTCTGGAGGGAAAAATCATGAAAGAGAAGACATCTGTTTTGTCTGCAAAGAATTTAACATTCAAGAAAGTAGAGGAGCAGGATGCAGAGGGAAGTTTGTTCTGAGCTGATATGTGCCAGGGATAAGCAATAAGTAACTTGCATCCTTATTTAACTCCACGACTCCTTGTGAACTATTATTATTCCCATTTTCCACATAAGAAAATAGGCTCTGAGAAGCTAGGTGTGAATTACATTTGAATTCAGAGTTTTTCTTTTCTTTTCTTTTTTTAATTCAAAGCTTTTACTTTCCCATTGTACCTGGCGTTCTCAGGGTCTAGAAATAAAGTGTGATAATTGAAGTTATTTGAATAAAATATATATAATACTGTACGTCTATACGCTTGCTCCTCTTCATCATATACATTTAACAGTTACGGTAATTAATGCATGCTATTTGTTATAATGTTAAGACTCGGAGTAGAACCCGGTAGTTGAATCAGGTACTGCATGCCTCGTATCCTCCAATAGAAAAACAATGATAATTTCTGTCTTTTTTTCCACTTGAAAAAACTTACATGATTACTAGGGAGCCAAGACCAGTTGGGAGTCATAGAAAGAATGAACTACGACTCCCAACATGCCCAAGGGGCTAATGCCAGTCCGCCAAACACTTCCAGCTTTAGGGCAAAGGTGACCTCGCAGGGTCGGGCGGCCAAGTAGAGAGCCTGCGGCCCGCCTCTCACTTCTGGTGCATTCTGGGATTTGTAGTTCCGTAAAGGGCAGGGCCTGCCCACCAGGGGACACCTTGAACTACGACTCCCGTGAGGCCCCGAGGCGCGGGCAGCGCCTGCGTGCCGAAGCCGCAGGAGCGTGCGGGCGGTGCTAGGGGCGGGAGGAGTAAAGATGGCGGCTCGCGGGTCTCCGCCTTCTGCTCCCGGCTGAGGCTCCGCGAGGGAGGCGGCGGCGGCGACCCGAGCGGCGACAGCGAGCGAGCGAGCGGCGGTAGTTCGTGCGGCTGCGTGCCGAGGCCGGAGCCATGGCGGAGTTGGAGCACATCGGCGGGAAGCGGGCAGAGTCGGCGCGAATGCGGCGGGCGGAGCAGCTGCGGCGCTGGCGGGGTTCGCTGACGGAGCAGGAGCCCGCCGAGCGCCGGGGCGCGGGGCGCCAGTCGCCGTCGCGGCGCGGGAGCCCCCGGGTCCGCTTCGAGGACGGCGCCGTCTTCCTGGCCGCCTGCTCCAGCGGGGACACGGACGAGGTGAAGAAGCTGCTGAGCAGAGGCGCCGACATCAACACGGTCAACGTGGACGGCTTGACAGCCCTGCACCAGGTAACGGTCCTCGGCGGCGCCCCGGCCCCCCGCGGGTCAGCCCCGGCCCCCCGCACGTCGCCGCACCCGGGGACGCCGCTCCCGCTGGGCTCGCCCAGGTCCTCCTCGGGCGGCCGCTCCCCCACCCGGGGTCGCCGCCTGCAGGGAGAGTGTGTGTCCCCGTCCGCCCGGTCGGGGTTTGTATTTCCCTCCACCTCCCCGGGTTGTCATGGTTACCAGGGATCTGGTCCCCGGGGTTCTGCGTGCCGCGGAGCCTGTGCCCCGGGTCGCGCGCGCCTGGACAGAGACCCCTGTCCAGGCCCCGTTCCGAAGAGCCCGTCTGTTCTGTGCGGGGCCCGGTTCTAGAACGGGTCAGCCGAGTTTTCCCAAGCCACATCGCTCCAAAGACGTCTGCCCCTTGTCCAGGCTGTAGCTCCTAGAACACCCTGAGCCCACTGTCGGGGGAGGGGTGCGGAGGGGCTTTCGGTCATAGCAGGGTTGCTCCCACCCCCGCCCCCCATATGGACTCTTCCTCTAGAGAACCCAGCCACGTTCGCCGGATGCCTGTGTCGTGGCCCTTCTCTCCAGCCTGCAGCCGTGGCTTTTTCCTTTCCCTGCTCCCCCCAACATACTCACCCCCCCCCCCCCCCCCTCACGTCTACAGCCGAGCGTGAGGGTCTGTGCACGAATGGACAGCTCTGTCCTGGCCATTGCAGCTGGCCTTCTCTCACCTTATGTAACGAGATTCTGTACAGACTGACTGTCCTAACTCTGCATCCTCCTCCCCAAATGGGAACTTCAGATATTTTGGTAAGCTGGGAGCTGGACACCCACTCTTAATCTTTCTTGTTTTGCTTGTGCCGTCTGTGCAAAGTGAATGTGTTGGCACGAGAATCCCCTTTTAAATATTAATTTGATGTCAAACCACTTTGCCGAAAGTATCAGCCAAATCAGCTTGAGTTACTCCTCCGTTGTGATCGAAACCTTCTCCTTCAGATGGAAGGAACTTCCTCTTCTTTTCACCCTGTTTGTATCTATTTTCTTTTCTCTTTGTAACTTCCCTGCAGGCAGATAGCAGTCAGCACTGCTGGTTATTTTGTCTTAACCTCATGTAAATTTCAGCTGGGAGATTTAACAAGTGATTATTCCCATTTTACAGAAATCTAGAACTCAGAAATTGTTGCCTGTGCAAAGTTTGAAAGGATTGAGAAGTTTGTCTCAGGCATAACTTTTTCCCGATTTAAATCCCAGAGCTTTATATCCCATCTAATAAGAAGCTGAATGTGAACAAGATAGAACCTAAGAGGGCCACCTTCATTATTTAAATCCTTTGTACTATCTGAGAGGGTAACTTCTTATTTTTTAAATGTATTCAGGATGGAAAGATTACGATTTGGATAGCAGAAGAAACCATTTAATGGCTTCATCGAGGATAAAAATATAATAGAATGCAGCTAGTTTTCTTGTCCATGTGTTGTTTCATTGATTCATTATTTCATTAAAGCACACTTTTCTTACTCTCTTACTAGCCCTGTTTCTTTTAAGGTGACTGCTGGCTGATTCTGGTCCTTAACATATATGGTAACACCCCAAGAAAAGCACCTGCTCTGAGCTTACTGTTAGTAGATCTTCCTTTAACTACTTGTCTGATCCCTTCTCTGAGATTGATTTCATTTGTGCTGTTTAGTCTCACTCCATTATTGTGAAATACAACTTCTAGTTAACATACTTTTCACAGTTAACAGTCTCTTGAAATAGGAGAGGAAGGAGAAGAGAGCTATGGAGTTAAAAAAAAAATCCTACAAATGCATTGGGTATGCTTTCCTTCCTACTTACAGGGTGGCAGTGAGTTGAGCTGACTAGGTATACTCAATACCAGACAAGTTCAGGAAAAAAATTTAAAGATTTGAAGTTCAACAGCCTTCTGTTGAGAAACTATCTTTGAATCAAGACTTTCATTGAGTCAGAAACTCCCACTTCATTTTCCTGAGGTAATCTGTATGGCCTGAAAGACTCTTAAAATACACACAAGGTTATTTTCAAGATGTGAGCTGGAGCTGCTAATAAGCATGGTAGTGAGTCTCCTGTATCTTTTGTGCAGTGGAGATTTAAATTACTTAGCTTAAATACCTATCTGTTAGACAAGCATGATATGAATTATCACGGTAATTGCTCCTTTCTTTTGTTTTGGTCATGGACTCTTGACCAACTCTAGGTGATCATCTTGGCATGTGGAATGCCACCCCCTCCCCCAATCTTAGATCTTTTTTCCTGTTCTCTCCAATCCCTTTCTACCTCCATGATTTTTCTCCTGTTCCCACGAGGTCACAGTAAATGATTTGAGCTTCAGGTTGGGGTGCCTTGATGCTGCTTTTGACTTAGAGATCTTCCTTTCTTGGCAGCTTTTACTTAGACCATGAGGTGCTTGAATCAAAGATAACATGCTCCAGGGGGGTCTATTTATACTTGAAATAGACTGGGATAAGAAATACCTCAAAGGTTAGACCAACTCTGATCAAAGTCTTGGAGATGAAGTAAATTTGGGTGACTAAACTAAGATTTAGTGAACATGCACTCAGTATCCTAGAACCTTCAATGGAAACAATGTTAGTCTGTTTATATAACCCCCCAAATCACTTGTTTGCTCACAAAGAAACTCTTGTTTCATTTATCTACCTTATAGGGAATAAACTATATGGATGAAGCTATACATTTTTTCTTTTCTTTTGGATGGGAGAGATAACCCAATGGACTGAGTGCATGCTTTGCAAGTAGGAAGCCGGTTCAATACCTGGGAATGCATATGGTCCTCCCTAGCCAGAAATAGCCTCTGAGAACTTACGTATGTGACCCCCAAGACAAGAATATTTAAGAAAATTCTTTTCTGTATTTGTTTTGCAAGGTTGCTTATTAGCACCTGTCTTGGTATGTTTACATTGTGATATTGGGGTTCTAAATCTAGTTACAAGTTCTTAAAACTGAAATCTACACAATTATTGAACTATTGTAAGAGACAAATGTTTGCTTTAGAAAGTAAACTTTTTGGGATGTTTATAAATGAATGTCTGCTTTTTCCTTCAGAATATATTGTTTTAGTGCTTGTATCTGTGCTGGCTGTACTGTAGGATATTAAGTGTCAGCCCAACTCTTTTATCTGTTGTTACTCTTGTGATTCTTGCACCTGGCTCCAAAGGATTTTTCTGGAAAAGCAAAATAGGGACCAAGGAGAGGAGACAAAGAAATTTATATTCAAAGGAAGGCAAAAAATTAAGATTCCACTGTGTTCAAGTCAATATAAAATAGTATGTATGTGTGCCAACTTGTATGGTTAAAAAAATAAAAAGCAATACTGCATTTCTTTTTTTTTTTTTTTGTTTTGTTTTGGGGCCACATCAGTGGTGTGGGCTTGGAGACCATATGGGGTGTTGGAGATCAAACTTGAATTGGCAGTGTGCAAGGCATGTGCTGCATTCTTGTTTGTTTGTTTCACTTTTTTATTGAACCACTGAGAGATGGACCCTTACAAAGTTGTTCATGATTAGATTTCAGTCATATAGTATTCCAACACCCATCCCTCCACCAATGGTCATTTTCCACCTGCTGCACTCTTGGTCTAGTCCCAACACTTGTGCTTCTTAATGACTTTTGGACCTTACCTGGAGGTGTTCAGAGGCTCCCAGTGATGCTGAAGGACCATGCAGTGTTGGGGTTGAACCTGGGCCTCCTGCATACAGAGCATGAGCCTTTTGAACCATATCTCAGATCCACTACTTTTTTTTTTTTTTCATTTTGGGTCACACCCAACGATGCTCAGGGGCTACTTCTGGCTCTGCATTCAGGAATTACTCCTGGCAGTGCTCAGGGAACCATGTGAGACTCCGGGGATTGAACCTGGGTTGACCACGTGCAAGGCAAATGCCCTACCCACTGTACTATATTTCCCACAATTTGTTCTTAACCCATTTCCCTACCCTAGTGAATTACTTACAACTTTAGGGTTTATCTGTGAAATGACTCTTGTGTTACCTATGTGCTAGTGAATTCTGTTCAGTGAAAGGTCCCAAGGAAAATGGGATCTATGAGAGAAGAAAATCCTCTTGGTTTCTTCCTTATTGCAGATCTGGGATAGTCATCCAGACTTATTTTAGTAGTTTGCCTCTTCAGATGGTTAATATGATGCATCAGACTATGTTGAGCACCTGGCTTCTTGCCTTATGAATATTACTCCCAAGTTTCCATGCCTTAGTGGGCCTCAAAGTCATATTTAGAAATTAGGCTTATTTTTATGATGTTTTTTGAAGGCCAGATACAAGTGACATTTTTATATATCTATTGGCCAAATTTCTCTTCTCCTTTCTTAAAGTCTTGTAGAGTAGTTATATACCACCATTAGGGCTTTTAAAGTTTGGGGGGAGTATTTTAAATAGACAGGCTGAGTTATAAGTTTAGCAAGTTCATGGGATGTGATTACAGCATAGTGTCTATATTTAACAATACTCTGTGGTATATCTGAAAACTGTGAAGAGAATAGACCATAAAAGTTCCAATCACTGGAAAAAAATGACCAGTTTTTCTTTATGTTAACTGTGTAGTAATGGGGGTAATAAAACTTTTCATTTTGTAATCTATACTTATGTAAAATAATTATGATGTACATCTAAAATAAGTACAGTGTGATTTATCAATTATAACTCAATAAAATTATGGAAAAAAACAATAAAAATTTTGAAAAATTTAGCTAAGTTGTCTGTGTTTGTATATTAAATAAAGAATCACTGAAGTTAGTTTACTGGCCAGACCTTGTTGGTAAATTAAAATTAAGATGTTGTTTTCATTTAATTAATGTATTTATCGTTTGTATGTTTTTGGACCACACCCAACAGTGCTTGGGGGATCCTCCTGGCTCTGCACTCGGGTATCACTCCTGGTAGGGTGGGGGATGGTAAGGGAGTCTGAGGATTGAGTCCGGTTTAGACTTATGCAAGACGAGCAGCCTTCCCACTGTGCTTTCTCTTATACCC